CTTAAGCAGCTTTATGGTTCCAGTTCCCTAGTCCTCTCCCCTCTTTGTCCCTTTTCTCTTCTGGTGAAGTGAAATTTCTTAATATGTTTCTTCTATCCATGTCTTTGTAATTCCTACCAAGTGGTTTAGTGGGACTATTCAATAAGGTGTGTGAAACTCTAAAAGCCATCCTCTGTGCATAAGAGCCATCTCAGAAATAGACTCTTGTGACCATCAAGAAGAGCCATCAGTGGAGTGCTTTTAGAATCCATGTCTGAGGGGTGATGGTAGGAGACACCTTGTCATGGTGATACCAGAGGCTGGGGCAAGGTGACCATAAGATAGACCAGAGGAGTAGCACTGAGACTATAAGACTGAGGCAGAGCAGTGGACAGACTTCTTGACTCATCGAGGCAGAAGCCAAAGGGACTATATGACTGGGAGGCTGAGGATCACAGAGAGGTTGTTTTATACTTAGCTGTTGGTTAAGTAGGTGTTGCTGTGGACCAATGACTGCATCTTTACTGTTTACTGATCCTGGCTATGTAAACCTCAATAATTGAGTGTTGTGTGTACGTTCTGGGTGCCCATTACAACAAATTGGAATAGGGTAAAGAAAGAGGTTGGAGGCATGTTTGTGGTAGTCAGTCTTGGGCTAGTGTAGAGTTGGATTCTCCTCACTTATGTAGCCACATGAGATTGGCCCTCAAGTCAAAACCCTGCCACTCAATGTGACTGTGCTCATATTTGGGAACAAGCAGTCGGATCAGAGGGAAAGAAAAAAAATGTAACAGAGGTTGGCCTTCTAAGGAGGAAAGTTCCTTTTAGCCCTGGAGATCCCTAATGTGACCTTTTGTTGCTACCTTTGTATTCATAGTGAGATTGCTTAGAGGATGGAGCAGAAGAGAAAAGGGAAAAAAAGTGTATTTAGGGTATTCAGCCCCTCAATATCTTACAGTATTAGGATACCCCTTTTCTGTTCCTTGAGGCAGATAGATGTACATTAGAGGGCTTCTCCAGGAATTTGCTGTCCATGCTGAATGCCCTCTTTTGGCCCCATCCATCCATCCATCCATCCATCCATCCAAGCCAGTGCCTGCTGTCCCATAGGTAGTGTTCAAGGAGGGAATGGTAAATTACTTGAGATATTTGAGTTCTAAGGAACTACATTTACAATTGTTTTTTTGTTTGGTCCAAGTACTAATATAGATTACATATAATGTTGTAGCACTTAGTTCCCTAATACTTGTAGATATTCACTAGCAGATGTTCAGCTTTATGCTTTATTGTTAAAAACACCGCTGCAGAGCAGAGAAAATAATGCTAAAGAAAATGATGAGAAAGACGAGACATTATCCAGATTTTGTAGTGAATAGATTAGCCTAAAATTTTGTTTTATGGAAACACAGGGAATCCAGGACAGATAACCCCTCAGGACCAGTGGT